TCCTGCCTGAAGTACTTCATGGCGGTGGGACTGAGAATGTTCGAGTGGTCCTCCAGGCCGGAACTCTCCAACAATGCCTTGCGCATCGATGTCAAAGAGCGAGCCGCCAACGCTCCTGGGCAGTTCTCCGCCGAAGAACCCTTCGTCCTGGTCGAAGTCCTCCTCTTTGCTGCCCGAGGAGCTCCGGCTGCCGGTGCTCCCGCTCCCATCTGTCTTTTTCCGCCGAACCAACCGCTTGGCCCGGCGAGCAACTCGGCGACGCACCTTGTCCTTGAAGCCCAACCCCGTTCCCGCAAAGAGAGCCTGAGGGGATTTGACAGAGGCCCCACGCAGCCTCCGACCATCCAAGCGAATGCCCGAGCTCGAGCTGCTGCTGCTGTCCTTCTCCACAACCTCCTTCTTGGGCCGCTCTTCCTTTGCCTTCTTCCTCCGACTTCTTGAGCGATCGCGCGACCTCTTCTCCTTCTTCTTCTTTTTGGGGCTTCGACCTCTCTTCTTCTCTTTCTTCTTGTCCTTGGACCCTCGATGGCTCTCCTTTGAAGCCTTGCGATCCCCACCATGTGCTCTGTCGTGCTTGAGCCCGTGAACCAGGTTCTCGGACACGCGATCCCCGGCACAGCCTTCGGGGCAAAGATGGAGTCGGAGAACCCCTTTGGGATGGCCACTGCACTGGCGAAGCAACGTCTCCGAATCGGTCCCAGTGGCCCGAAGCAAAACGTGGGTGGCATCTCTCTCCACCTCCAACCCCGTGATCACTCCGGCTACTCGACCTGGGGCGCCAAAGTAGCTCACCTCCTCTGCAATCACCTCGATGCCCTTGGCCAACTCGTCCACGGGGATGTCGCTTGCCTTCAACAACTGACCTGCTCGCCACAGCTCCCGCGGCCCAGGAGCTCCTCCGACGAATGGGGCTGCGGCTGGCCTCCTTGCAGCTCCTCGAGGATGAACTCGCATAGCGCCCAACCTTCTCATAGCACCTGCCTTTGCCTTGGCCAGTGCTTTGGCTTTCGCCTTTGCCCTCACCTTGGCTTTTGGAGCCATGGCTTCTACCTTCTCTGGTAGGGCCAGTAACGGCCCCGCTCACGATGCTTGACCCCCTTTGTGCCTCGCTTCCGCTGCGGAGCTCGTGCAAGGGATCGTGACCTCTCACGCCAATGCCTCTGCTGTCCACGCTGCTCACGACGGTCTCGGTGATCTGGCGGTGGATAGTCTGGGCTTCTCGGGCGCTTGGGCGCCGGTGGCGGTGGTGGAAGGTCGCAATGCTTAAAGTGCTTTGCAACGCTCCCCTTGGGAGCCGGCTTCAACTCACACTTCTGGGGCTGCTCTGCAACCAACTGGTCCTTCTCCTCGGTGGTGGCAGTTGGATCTTGAAGAGTTGCTCCAGTGCTCCCAGCACCGCGTTCCTCCTCAGCAGGCTTCTCGCGCCTCCTTGTCCTCTTCTTCTCACGCTTCGTGGAGGTTCCACTCACGTGCTTCTTCCTCCGTTTCTTCTTCTTGACTCCTTCAACTCCTTCAATCTCCACGTCCTGAGACTCAGCCTTCACTAACTCGACTGGGTCCTTCTCTTCGGTGTGCTCCTCCTTTGCACGCACTCCAAAGTCACCAGGCGGCTTGTCCGGCTCCGACTTCTCCTCCTCGTCCACCTTCTGCTCAACAGGTGCAACAGGAGCCTCTGATGGCTTCCCGCAACCAGAGCCTGACGGGGCTGAGGATGATCCCCCTTGCTCCGAATTGTCGAGCCCCGGAGGATTCGATTCCAACTTCTCCTTCTTGAGGGCGGGTATCGCCAGTTCCGACAAATCCTCAATAGCACCACTCGCGGAACGAAGGATCTGGATCACCGCTTCCTCCTGCCCACGTAGAAAGCCGCCAGCCCGGAACAGGTTCTGGATGCGGCAAAGAGTCCGGCAACTAGGACAGCTGGTTGGCTTCCCTGTCCAGAAGTGACAGCCAGTGCAGGACATGCACCGTGGCCACGACTTAAGCCGAAACACTACAGGACAAAAACCTCAGTGTGCATCTTAAAAACTGGGGGCGTTTGTACATATGTCATATGTCATATATTCCTTCTTCCACGGGGTCTTTGGCAGGTCTCACTATTTGAATCGACTATTGATGGACGGCATCCTGTGCCAAGATGGATGAGTTCTTTCCTGTGAGTCTTCCGTGTTTGGCAGCCCAGAATTGGTCTTCGGAGACTGGTCGAATCTACCAAAAGCTCGACGAAAATCAGCCGTGGCTTGTAGAATGGTCAACTTCCTGAAAGAACTCAGTCGATGCGGATTGACATTAGGAGCTGAGGAGCTCACCAAGGCCTGTGAGCGTCTAACTGTCTTCGTCCTACATGAGAGTCTTGACTAGGTCAGCAAGATCCGGACAATAGCTGACCCCAAAACCCAATGAAAAGGACCAAGGACCACGGGCGACCTCAAAAACCATCCACGATACTCTTGGATTGGATCCGTTTCTTTCGACGACCGTCCACATAAGCAAAGCTTCCTGTCGCGCACCTGCATCAGAGTGTGGCTCACCACACCAATTCGCACCTCAAGCGGCTTTAGTGAAGGAAAAGCGGCTCAACCGCTGCTCTTTGGTCTGCTGCCGTGTCTCCGAAACGGATCAACAAACACAACACTACTACCATAGAATAGAACGTCACGAATTATATAAGCAATTATAAGCATGATGGTCATCCACTTGCGCAAGGCCACCTGCATGAAAGGTGATTGCCAGGCTTGTGAGTCCCTACCAACCGCTTCCATCCCTATACTCCGGCCTCCAGCTGCCGCGTGTCCGCCCTGAGTCGTTTGAAGGCATCCTGGCCGTCCGGAAGAGTCGACTTCGAGACACATCGAACGGCGTCACCGTCGGACGAGGTGGGCCATCTTCCAGGCTCGTAGACCTCCTGCCAGTTCGATGAACCAGACACACGACGCGGCGACGACATCGAGACCTCGATGTCCAGACACATCACGACGTCGGGAGATGTCGCAGACCATGCAAACCATGGGTCCCGTCGCCGGCTTTGACCCCTGCCGCTTTGACCCCCGAGACCGGTGGTCACCGGCCGTGGTGCGTCACCGGCCGGGTGACAGCCCACCTTCATCTTGACGATCGGGGTGGTGTCGGTCACCGTAGAGGACTTCTCCTGGACGACTCACCGTGGGGGTTGATCAAACCCAGCCTTAAGCACCGGTCTTTTTCGAGCCTGGGAGCCAGGACACGCTGTTTGGGATGTCTATCAATAGCCCCAAAAAGAGGTGAAAACCCTCCAACTCCCATGGGTTCTGGTAATGTGACCACACTCCACAGTGTTTGTTTTCAAAATATGCAACAGAGCAGTTTCGGTCAGCCAAAGGATCGTTGCCGGCCGGGTGAAAGGCACACGGGAATGGTCTTGAACCGAAGACGAAGGCCATGGTTTTGTTGGGGAAGTGTTCATTCAAGAAAGAGGACCAGTGACCAGTAGGGTGCATTCAAGCCAAGTCAGATCTAGCACTTGCGTGACATTCACCTGTGCGTCATTGACAGGAAGCCGCGTGCCAACCGACAGAATTTGAGATCATGCAATGCTCGGATGCCTCTTTTTTGAAGCTCAAGCCCTGTCTCCTCCATCTCGTTTTTCACCACATCGAGCTCTTCACTCACATTTTTAAGCTCAATCTGCAAGTTCATGACCTTTGCCCACATCTCCCAATCCCGCCCAAAAGGCCCCATCCCAACAATATTCATGCAGCGAGAATCGCCATGAACAAGTGTCCCATGGTTTTTTCTCCGCTGACTATGAGGTCAAGAGTCATGATTCACCACCTTGCGAATCTTGGGCTGTTTGGGGATGACCCCACATCGAGAAGATGAAAGACATAAGGGCCCCTTGACTTTTTGGGCGGAACACGTGTCTATCTCGTTCATCACGATGATGAAAGCCTCGAAACGGAGTCGGTCACCCTTGTGCGACCGGAAGAAAACCAAAACGCCCAACCCGCTCTTTCATCACCTGGATGAGGGAGTCTACCCGCACCAACCGGGCGCACTTACCCCCGGCCGAGGATCGGAGGGCGCCAAACCCTAAACTCCTGAACCCCCGCTTCAAACCCTTAGGGTTTGGCCATGCCCCGGACGGCAAACCCTAAACTCCTTAACCCCTAAACCCCCGACACCTCCTTCAACACTTATAGGCCCGTTCCGTTTCGACCCCACCCGCAAGCGGTGCCCGAACTCTTTGCTCGGTCTCCCCGATCTCCCGGAAGCCGAAATCCCAACATCGCCGGTCGTCATCGTCGTCGTATCGCACCAAGGAGCCACTTCATTGAGCTCGGTGTACTGCTGCTGGACCTGCGAAACAAACACGTATGAGAATGAACTCGGCATCGATTTCAACGGTGGATAGCCTATGATAGCCTTATATCATTTAGGGATGGGGTGGTTTTGACACCTGGAGCCCCTTCACGCGCTCTCCTCTTGGTTTGACCTTATGGTTGGTAGGTCAAGCAAGGTCTCCTGGTCTTGACATGGATCGTTTGGCCATGTAGAGACCTCCGCAAGTAGAAGATGACAGATAGAGCGATCCAAAACAACCGCAAAAAAATGGTTCTTTCCTGTCGAATCTGCTCGAGGATGACCTCAAAACATGTTAAAATGTAGGCTTTGGCGGACACCTAGGTCAAGTTCTGTTACAGTTGATGGTTTTTCTGAGGGAAAATCGGTCCTGAGGAAATGATCCAAGGTCAGAGGTTAAAGACTCAACAAGCATCAAGAGTTGCTCGTAGACAAAAGACACTCTGTAGGTCTATGGCAATCTATGGTCAAGAAACACAGGAATTACAAGCAGAGACCCAGCATTCATCAGACAAAAAACAAGTACATGTTGGTGGTGCTGCTATGTGTCTTGTGTTTCGCGTCGTTTCCTCCGGCAAAAAAGGGAAAAGATTGGGGCCAGACTGATCATGTCTGGCAAAGATTTGGGGATGGCACCATGTTCTATATAAGTTTACAATACTTTACATATATAGTCTATATATAGGGTATATATATATACAACAAAAAATACACCATTGTTTGGAAGTGCAAAGTGCCCGCTCTGCGGAACCGGCCATGGGACAAAGACCCTCATGTCTCGACCGGGCGGCCTGAGTCAGCTCCTCTTGCTGCTGTCGATAATCCACAGCTCGGTGGTCGAACTGAGTGTTGATAAACGCCTGGTCACATCGGTGCGAAGTCCGTTCGATTGGTGGATGAGACCGTCGGTCCATGGTCGCGCTGCTTCGGCCGAAGACGCTCCGCCCCTCGCAGCAGGCCATGCGGCCTCTTTGGATTTGATCCGATCCATGGCTTGGCTCAGCTGCGCCACCAGCTTATCCAGCTGCACCTGGACACTGAAGAGCAAAAGCCGCAGACACTGAGTCGTTTTGGGAGGGGAGACATACCGTATGTTCTTGCTCAGCTTCAAGTGATGTATGCAGGAATCATAGATTTCCGTACCCAAGCAAAGGACTTCTCGCATTCTATTCATGGTGAGGATTTTGATGATACATAGTAGCAATTGCTTTTGATGGAAGAAATCCTGCGGTGTCCAGTGCATCCTTTCACCTCCAGATGCGACAGAAAACGAGTCTCCCCTACTAAAACTATCTCACTTGTGGGCTACGATCCAAAATCTCTCCACCATAGGAAACTAAAATATGACTTGCCTGAAAACAGGGCCCTGAACGAAATGTTAAACAAAAGCTCCGTTTGTCTTCTTGTTAAACAAAACTCCAGACCTCGCTTCATACTCTTCAAACCCGAACGACTCGTCGGCGGGTCGACCTTGGATGCTGGAAACTGGTTCTCGATCACCTGAGCGAAACGCCGTGGGAAAAGCAGCTGCACCGAAAAGCACCACAGAAAGACCCGCACGGGATTCATGCACCAACCCGCAACGATTCATCCAAATGCTCCGGTTGCCATGCGGCGAAACACAAAAAGGACGTGGGTTCCGCTGTGTCAGGACGTGGAGGCATGCGGCATGCGGCAGACGATCTACCAATCAGTCGCCTGGATGGCAAATCCGGGTCCATCCTCTTGGTGCTAACAACTGGTTCAAATGCAGTGGATTCCCACGTCGGTAAGCAGCGGTTTCACAAAGCAGAGGCTAAATAAACAGGGCTTCAGCTGACGTGCTTTTTGTAGATATCCATGAAATGCAGCTTTACTGCCCTGCAAATGGATGCAAATGGACCGTTCAAGGCTTTCAATGCATCTTCATGGCCAGTTCTCCCCATCAACTCCTCCAGGGTGATGTTTCGCTCAGCGTCTGAGACAGCTCAGCTCGTCCCTTCCGAACCCCGCTCGGCGCGTCGCGGCCGTCTCGCCTGCTTGTACTGCTTGGTCTGCTGCAAATGCGTCCTGGCCGTCTCTTCGGTTGGTTCTTGGGAAAGTCCAAAAAAGAAGACGTGACTTAACCATACTTAACCTTTATAGAGGCAAATCTAAGTCTAATGCATTGCCATTGTAAAGACTCAAGACATGTCCCGCAAGTGCATATTGCTTGGATTGCTTGACTTGAGAGGTGAATCCCTGCTGCGGAGTTCAGTGTCGACAAGAAGTGCAACATATGATTCAACTCTACAAGTACCACCAGCGAGAACTACTTCGACTCAACACCAGATCTCTGCAAACACATTTAAGACTGTTGAGTAAGTATGATATCACTCTCCCAGTCCTATGCTATCCATCTCTGAAGAAAATGACCAGACCACTGTCCTGTCCTCTCCCCTCTCCTCCCCTCCCCTCTCCACTCATCTCATACTCCTCTCTCTACTGGCTGACTCCACGAATCGGGCGATGCCTCCACTCCTTTGAGTCGTTGGGCATCTGCACTTTCAGCCGGGACGAGACCCGCTCCACCTGGCGCAGCAAAACGGCCATGCCCAGTTCCAGGAGGGGGCATCAGCTCGAAGTAGTGGCCAACGGAACTAAAAAAAGGGAATATCCCTCACCCTTTCGTCAAGAAGTCCCCTCTATTTGTTTGCAACACATATACCCAAACAACACAGTCCCCAAAACGAACTACTTCGACGAGTCCTTCGGCCCCACTGCTCCTTTTTGCTGCTCTGCTTCTCCTCTTTTCGCGTGCGCAGCTTTAAGCGCACGCATTCCCGGCGCAGTCCTGCGAAGTCCCGGTGCCTCCAAGAGCCACTCCTTGGGGTCCACGTTGGCTTGGAGCACCTGGAGGCCGAGTGACCGGCGAGTTCGACGCTCCGGACGGACGCTATCAGCGGAGCCGAGGACGGGTCCCACCACGGGCTGATCCCAAACCGATGGGCGCCACGGTCATGGCCCGATGGTCGCCGTCTTCGGCTTTTGGGATCAAATCAAATTCGAAGCCTCGAAGCGAAGCGAAGTTCCAGGTGGGGGAGAAGAGAAGAAGAGGATTCTTCATGGTTGGTTGGGGAGGGTCCAGCAGCGTCCCCGGAAGTGCAGAAAAAACCTCCTGTCTGGGACTTGTACGACTTGATTTGTGCTGTGGCCCTTCTCTCTCGACTGAAAATGGGAGCGCTCCCATTCCACCAGACATGGAAGCTTCAGAGCCCTCTGCTACAACCGGGGCCCTCGTGGACGGGAAAGGAAAGACGAGCCAACTGAATTGGCCAGGGAGGGTACATGTTGGCCCACATGTTGGCTCGCTTGCTCATCTCCTCCCTGAAAAACTTCGTGTTTGATCTTGTTGGTGACGCTCATCTCAAGGACCTAACCACCAAGGTTTCACTGGGTGGTCCCGGAAGGTCCCTGCAGTGGACCCTGGGCGCCTGATGATCGTTCTCATCATCCTCAGGTGGCTTTGGCGCATCCTCCTGAAAGCGGTAGACAGTTGGATCTATATATTGGGGCCAATAAGAAGGAAGCTTCTCTTCAAATTCTCTTCCCTTGTAATATGCAGGATAGGTTAGGAAAAAGGAAAAAGGGATGAAAAACGTCAAAACGTCTGCCTGGTATCATTTTTTCAACAAGGCACACCACAGAGAAAGTTGTCCTCCCTAGCCCGCCAAGGCTTCCAGCAAAATCTGCCATTCACGTCACCCCAATCGGTTTTTTCTTTTCCCTTTCTCCCAAACTCCGATGCGGTCCATGATCTCCCCTTCTCCCATCTTCTCCCCCTACCAGTTTGCTGTCTTTCATGTCTTTCATGTCTCCTGGTACATGAGGTCATCCTCCTCACCATCACCAGGCATCTCGTCCTGACGGGGCTTCGGGCCGACGGCCGAGTCGGTGATGTCGAAACGAAGCCAACTGCCAAGGCCAAGCACCACCGGCCAAGGCGAATCGAAACGAACACCAGTACTTTCTGCTTCTCTGCTTCTCTGCGCTCTCAAAACAGAGATCCAGCGCTGGGAACGCCTCTAACCCTCTAACCCTCATCGGGCATAACTCCAGTAAGTCACTCTATCTAACCAATAGACAATAAGTTTTAGATGTTTTAGGAAGGAAGAGATGAAAGAACCCAAAGCATCCTTGTTCGTTCAGGTAGGAAAATCAGGACTTCTCAACTGGTGGGGGCGGCGTGTGATTGCTTGTGCAAGGATCACACACACACTTATACATACACACACTCACAAGATCCACAAGTTGCAGTGTTGCGGCAGGTGGTCTTTCAGCTTTCGGACTGCAAGAATGGTGCAGGTCTGGCCAACAATGGTAGACAAAGATACAGACAAAGGAGTGTTGCTTCTCCAGTCATCTCAACTCCCACTTTCACCCACGCACCCAAAACACCGACCCACCACTCAACCAATAGCCAACCAACAACTCTCACTCAACCAAACCAAACTATCCTATCCATAATGTAGGCTCTTGATTCATAAAAACCCTCGCATAAAGTTTAAAGAGAGGTTCTACAGTCCACTGGGAGGGTTGAAATATCATCAAGCGTAAAACCCCCTAAACCCAGCCAACCTCCACCTCCATCTCTCCTCGCCCACCGAGTGGATCTCCGCGTCGCTATCCACGTCCGCTTCGTCCGCCATGCCCTCATCGGGATAGGTCGGAGCGTGGAACTCGAAGCTGACCCTCCGCAAGGCCTGGCCACCGTGGCCGGCGCGCACCGGTGCCACACCACCGGGTGTCGGTCCATTTGCGGAAGATGAACTGGAGGAACTGATCAACATGGAGACCGCCAAGCCATTCCCCAAATCCAGGGAATCATGAGCACTTCCATCAGTTCTTCCACAGGATGATCTTTGATCCCAACTCTGCAGCTCGCTTCGTGAAGTCGGAGCAAACAGAGGTCCCAACAACCGTTGTCTGGACGCTCCGCCATTCTGAGAGTCAAACCTACCATCAGAGATTCCTTGTTTCTAATAGCTTCTTGTTGCTAGTAGTAAGGCCAGTTTGGCCCCGTTCGTAGCGATGCCCGAAATGCTCCGTTCGTAGCGATGCCCAAAATGCTCCGTTTGTAGCGTGATTGCTAAAAAAGTGCACCCCCAAAAGTCCAGGAAATGGTGCTGTCGGGACTCCTGTTCCACGTGGTCGACTTGGGAGATCTGGGCAAAAACGGGCACACCGGCACACCGTGTTCACCGGTTCCGTGTTCCACGTTCGACGTTCGTGTCGTTCACGTCGTTCGCTTCACAACCAACACCTGCGACTCATGAAGGAGGGACACTCTGACGAACACATCACATGGAAGTGGCCCTGTAGTTGTCTGGGAGGATGACCAACATTCTCTTGAAAAGGAAGTGGTTTGTCGAAGTGCAAATACATTTTTTTGGAGGCCCGTCTTGCCAGGTTCTCTTGCAATCACTTCCATCTTCCCGGGTCTCTGGTCCAACTGTCTGCACTTTTTCACATGCAACACCGGTTCGGAGAGGTATGCTCCAGCACCACCCCGTTCGGGTAGCTCTTCGACCCCCCTGACTGGGTGATGCTTCAGGCTGACCCGTAGGGAAAAGCTCTGACCGCCAGTCGGTTGGCCCCCAATATGTGTCCCACTCGCGCTTCGGCTCTGCCTCACCCATTAAAGTGTGCAAAACCTGGCACACAGCATCGCCGTGGCCAGACTTCAATTTGCCCATGCCGCCAGGCACCTCAGCGGAAATCCATTCCAAGTCCAGATCAACACCACCATGAGGCAGAAAAATGTGTGGCCCAACACAGCGGCAACGTTGGGATTGCGCATTTGTGTGGGTCAAAAATCCCAGACTGTAGAACTTGCGTTTCTCTGGCCTAGGCACACAAAAAACAGCCAAAACTGACCCACTTGCACCTTTCCTGAGTCCGGCTAAAAACCATCCCTACCTTTCGGACGCGTCAGCTTTTTCTGCTGGCTTTCACTGTACAAGCCACTTGTGCAGAGTCGGGCTGCGTTGTCTTGGACACGACTGGGACGCTGCACTTGTCATGTGACCCAGCACAAAGCAAGCCTAGAAGCCTCAAAGAAACAGCTTGTTGGGTCAAATAGAGGTTCTACATACAATGCTTGTGCAATGGATTCCATCTTAGATCTTTGTGAGCTACATAGGGCTCAGAGACTCATCTGTCGGTGAAGGACAAGATCATGTTCATGTCGCAAGCCTGCGCAGGCTGAGCCGGGAGAGAGTTTCAGATCAGCAACTTCAACTAGCTTCTTTTGTCAACCAGCACACTTACACTTAGAGCTAACAGGAAGCTTGGAGTGGTCTTTGGATAAACCGGGAAAGGGTGTGATGTCAGTCTACCTGAACCACCCACAAAGAGACAAATCTATGTCCTCTCACGTCTGGCCAGGTTTCTGGGTGTGAAGGTACCGCGCGGCCCAACCTCGCCAGCAGTGTCCAATGGCACAAAGTCAGGTGTCCCTTCAGGAAGACGGAAATCTCCTGCACCGATGCGGGCTCGGAGTCCGCATCAGAGGCAAGGACGCCACGAACGGAGCATTTGGGGCATCGCTACGAACGGAACAAGAATTCACGAGCGGGGCTCCTGGCCTTACTACTAGGAGCAAGGACGCTACTAGGGGCTCCTGGCCGTACTACTAGGAGCAAGAAGCTATTGGAAACAAGAAGCTACTAGGGGCTCCTGGCCTTACTATACTAGAAGCGATCGGACGCTACTAGGGCCGAGGGGCTTTTTCGCGTCCGGTGATCAGAGTTGGAACATCCACTTGGGGATCAGGAAACGGCCATGTTCCCTCACTGAAACTTGAGAAAGCTCACTTGATCTCCGCCAGACGCCTGTCAGTCCCCAGAGCTTCATCGAACGTTCCCTCAAAGTTCCAAGCTGTCCCACCCTCCAGTTGAAGAGCCCTTCCTCGTTCCAGCTTCAGCCTTTGCAGAAACTCTTCTCGTGTGTAGATCCGGTGCCCCAGTTGCCTCTTGTATTCCTGAGCGAGATGCGCCCACCAAAAAGCCCAAGATCCCACGTCCGCCTGCAAACCGAGGGCACAAAGGGTGTTCCGCTGTAGGCGTAATAGGATTTGACTAGTGACTAGTGAGCTTGAAGATGCACAAGGCATTTCGCCTGCAAACCGAGGGTGTTGCTCCTGTCGTTAAGAGCATCTGCGGAGGCTCTCCGAAGTTCTATGACAGCCCTCGTGCCGAGAGACCATCTGAGGGCTGTAGCAATGGCCCAAGCTCCTGTCCAATGGCGCTGTGCACTCCAATCCTACGAGGCCTGGAAATTGAGCTTTGGTTGCAGCATCATAACAACACCGGTACTCAAAGGAATGTATATGCCCCTTTTCCAACATGGGGCAGGTATGTAGCCTGCCAGGTCATTGCGAAGTTCGATTACTTATATGGTTATCTATATATATATATATATGCCTTACTTTGTTTGGTCCACCTCTTGACCCTGACCGCGCATTTT